GGGGTCATGTTGCGATCATTAATACCTATTTATGAAGAGATAGTGAACTCATTCAAAGATCAGAGACAGCATCGAAAGATACTGATTGGAAAATAACATTAAAGGTACACAAGATGTATGCACTATACTATGTTTAAGGCGATGAACGACCTACTTATAAACGAACAATTAAAAGTAGTCTGACCTCTATTTCGCAATTTTCTCGTGTCGTCAAGGCAACCTAGATGGACACACCTTATCCGTGGTTGTATGTCAGAGAAGGCATGATAACTTCCGGCGCACCACCGTCGACGTGGTACATGTATTCGTCGGAAGGCCTTGCCGTTCTCCGGGCTCGGATAGAACTCTTCGAAAAACAGCATCTCTCGAGTTTCATATTTAAAATGCAAAAATGTAAAAAAACACTTACCTTCGGGTAGTCTTTTGGCGGAGTTTGAGGTCTCTGCTGCAGCTTGCTGCCTCTAAAGGTCACAGAAGAAGCGGCCTCGTCTACCGCATGAGTGAGAGACTCAGTGACCGGGTTGGTGGGAGTCATGATCGTACGACTGGCCACAATTCTGGTGCTGAGCGGCAGACGGCTGATTTGAGCAGTCTGCGCCGGGACAGTGGAGGAAATGGAGGCTCGACTGAGTCCAGTCGCACCAGAGACGGCAGACGCTGTGATGAAACTGGCCGAGGCAGCAAACGTGGAAGACATCGTCTCTGAGTTGACAGAGGCTGGCGTGAATGGTTCATAGGACAAGCCATTTGAGTTTTGCACAAGCATAGAAGAGTCATGTCTTTTCGCCAGTCGACTGGCCGAAGAATGGGAAAGGGGCGGTTTGCGTGCTTGGCCCACTCCGGCATCAGAAACGACGTGAGGAGACCCGGAAACAGATTGGGACGCCAAATTTGAGTAGGCTAGAGGGTAGGATCGCTTTCAGAAATATAAAAAACATGATATAAGGATGTAATATAATAAATATTATATATATATATATATATATTTAATTTATTAATATATAATAACAATTATAATAATTATAATATTATATATATATATGCATATATATTATTACAATATAATATTTGTACTAAAACTAAAATAAATAATAAAAAATATTATGTAAAATGCAATGTAAAATAAAAACATACATATGCATATATTTAAGTATACGGGAAATTTGGAGGAATGTCTATTTAATGAGGTTAAGTTTACAATTCATTAGAATTTCTATAAATAAATAAATAAAATTGTGTGTGTGTGTGTGTGTGTGTATGTATGGACTCTGGTTACTTTGTCCATTGGCCAATCTGAGCAGCCATTTATTTGGGGGGAATCTCGTAAAATCGAGAAACTAGTCGCAACTTCTTTCGCGGAACGACGGGAACAGCTTTGGGACAGACGACTGTGGCGTCTCCGCATTCCCGGACTTCCCCATCCCTTGCCCGGCAAAGTAGCCGATCCACTGTCACGTTGGAGCGCTGGTACTTTGTATAAGGGTCAACCTGTTACAATAGGTACAGTTTTTCGCCGGTTGTTGGGTAGAGATAAGCGCTAAGACTGTTCAGAACTGTTTTGTTTACCGCACTTTCCAGCATTCAGGATTGGAAATGCCAGATACGAAAGAGAGTGAGAATTAAGCCATTTAGGCAACTTGGGAGAGTTTGCAGGCATAATCAATGATGTGCAGTGTGAGGATTCAGTTGTTGAAAATGTTGTAGCATAGTGCCAGGAGACGTGAGAAGACGAAGAAAGTGCTAGAGCTTGAAAAGATTACCATTTAGAATACCGGAAAATGCATTGTTGAATTACGGCAGACAAGAAAAAGCAAACGAATTGGAGGAGTGTCTAGGAGAGGACAAACTATAGAGCCTGTAGAAGAGGGACAACTTTGACTATCAAAAGTCATAATCGCAAAGAAAGACTGTACATTCTGCTAAACACTATTGCAGGCAAACGGCTGGAAGAGAGAGAGAGAGAGAGAGAGAGAGAGAGAGAGAGGTGGTAAAGGCTTTCAGGAAATCAAACAAAAGAGATGAAATGTTAAATTCCTGATCGGGTCAGAGTGGGGAAGGCAGAGGAAACCGAGTTTAAAGCGAAAAAAATCAGCTCAACATGGACGAAAATGCGCCCCATATCTGAGACCATATCCGCTATTCATACATTCACAGGGTCAACCTGTTACACTAGGTACAGTTTGTCGCCGGTTGTTGGGTTGCAGATTCAGTTGTTGAAAATGCTGCAGCATAGCGCTAGGAGACGTGAGAAGACGAAGCAAGTGCTGGAGCTGGAAAATGCATTATTGAATTACGGCGTTACTTTGCGCAAGAAGGTAATGAAGCTAGTGCTGATTGTAAAAAACGACTTGCAGATTGCTATGAAACCTACTTTATATGAATAAAAGATATGCGCTGATGTTTGCAATGAATGATTAAAAATTAAGTAATTGTGCTCTAAATTTTCCGATAATATAATTTAACACAACGCTACAGAAAATTCAGCATAAATGAGATTGCAACTGTATTGGACCAAAATGTTCGAGTCCCGATATGCTCTTTAACACACAATGTTAATGATCAGGCTTTCTGATAATCCCTCAGCGTACCACCCATTTAACCCATTTCAGAAATGCAACCAACTAGATTTTTTTCGCTTTCTAAACTTGGTTATATTGGCAAGAAGATACTTTCCAGAGTCTGACCGTGCAGTGGTCCGAGTTGTAGTGTGGAGCCACTGACGATCGCGACGAAATGTCTGGGAATGTACCAAATTAGCATGCACACTATGGACTCCCGACTAGATGCGTGCCTCTGGGTCTTCCTGGCAATATGACCAAGTTGAAAGATTGACCTATTTCTGCACAATATCTATCTATAATGGTGTAAATGTGTGTGTGTGTGTATGTATGTATGTATGTATGCATGCATGCATGCATGCACGGACATACAAACCGGGAGTTATAGTCCCGAGTAGTCAGAATGGAGATGACACTTCTTGAGGTCGTTAGGATTTGATGAAATTAATTTTTCGACTCGATCACAATTTAGCAATCCGGAACCATCGCACGGTGGGGTTGATTAGCTTTTTGAGCCAAATTTCATGAGATATGGGATCACTTAAAGCTAAAATCTCCCAGTGATGCAAATGATTACATGACAAGTTTGGAGGAATGTCTAAAAGCGGAAGCCTTACAAAGTCAGGCAACGACTATTTCGCTATTCGGTAACAGGACAATCAACCGAAATGAAAGGGAAATTGAATTTACAAGTGAACTAGAAATGAACAATTGGTAATAATGTGATGTCGATTGGGGCAAGAGCCCGGTTGGGTGAAGACCTTGAAAGGAAAGCGGCCGATGCTGGTTTCATTAATCACCTTCAGTGCAACCATGGTTACAGGAAGGGAGTCGGGAGTGCAAAAGCCATGATCATTAGGAGTATGGTGACTTGAATGTGGCATGCCTACAGTGGAGAATAGCAGATGTCTAAACATGTGACAACAACATTAGAAGATCGTAGGCTGATGTGTTTATGCAAGTAAAAGAGTGGAACGATAATCATTTCCATTTCATGCATTAACTTTGCCCACTTCGGAGAATAGGCTTGCGACCAGCCACGGCGTAGAAAAGAGACAGTTTTTTGACCAACAAACAATAAAGAAAGACATTCCAGACTATACAGGGATAGAAAGGACAGATCTGACTTGGCGAATAGCTTAATTCATGCAGGCCATGTGATGGGGGACAGGAAATGGGCAGAATATGTGGAACCAGACTATCGAGATTAATACATGATGGAATGTATTAGGCAGATAAGAAAAAAACAAACAAATTGGAGGAATGTCTAGGAGGACAAACTATAGAGCTTTGACAATCAGAAGTCATAATCGCAAAGAAAGACTGTACATTCTGCTAATCACTATTGCAGCCAAACGGCTGGAAGAGAGAGAGAGAGAGAGAGAGAGGTGATAAAGGTGTTTAGGAAATCAAACAGCAGAGATGAAATGTTAAATTCCTGATCGGGTCAGAGTGGGAAAGGCAGAGAAAATATTGTTGAAACCGAGTTTAAAGCGAACAGAATCAGCTCAACATGGACGAAAATGCGCCCCATATCGGATCATAAGAGGCAGAGACATGATCCGAGATCATATGAGCTATTCATGCATTCACTTGCTTCAAATAACTACCAAGAACATGCGGATTTGCACGAAACTAAAACACTGAGTGCAACTTCAACTTCGCATAAGTATTGTTTCGGAATTGTGGCCTCATGGGGCCCATGATAGTGCTATCGGATGCATCTTCATTGTAGTGAAAAAGCCAAAAAAAAACAACACTCATTAACACATCTCTGCCCATGTTAGGATGAATTTTAGTTGGTCAAATGAGAAACTTCTCCTTACCACTACGACCACTGGAATTTCGGTGCATAAAGTGAGAGTCAAGAGGCAGACAGCCTCCAAAATCATAAAAACTCTATAGGATTCACACCGACCTTTGCTCTTGCCATCAACAAAATCAAGTATAAAGGCAATCTAAAAACAATTGTAAAGTCAACGCAAACACAGTCCGGCTACATGGTCAGTCAGCTGGCGACATCTACTACCTTTTGTTGAGAATAAAGTCAAAAATCACAAACAATGTTAAACTTGAAATGACCGAGAGTAAATTTATTATGTGCATTTTTATAGCCGAGTTTGTGAACCCATTAAACTGGATTGTTTGTATATTATTGACATCACAAGCCCTATTGTAGCCCCATAGATGCTATTCAAAAAAAATCAAGGAAGGTCTTTACACATGCCGACTCAAGTTAGGCCTTGTCTATTAACCCTTCCTAACAACTATAAACACATCAATTTTGCTCACATAATCTCATCATTCATTACTTACAAATCACATGAGTAGGCTCCGCCACTATCAAAGATATGAAGATCCAGATTTTGCCCTGTTTTCCCAATTGCATGTTGTCAAACAGACTACAATTAACACACCCTATCCAACTTGTAGTATCTAAGCTGGAACATAGTATACTCCCAGAGGATTCATCGGTATTTTAGAAATACATACAAAAGTATATGGAAGAAGATGACATCGAAGAAATACTGAGAGACCAAAAATAGCAGAATACATTGCCAGGACAGGGTACAAGATCGACCGGAGGTCAAACTGAAAGTTGAATGCTTCGAAAAAAACTGAGAGAAAACCAAGAATCAGCGACAGCAACAGAAAGAAGGTGAGTGGAGCAAGAATGCAATTTTCATAAAAATACAAACAACAACAGAGAAGGCACATTCACAAGTCAAGAGAAGACGTTTCCAATGAGAGTAGTAGCCACAACATTTGGGCACTTGGTGCACAAAAGTACAGAGACTAGGACATTCGGCGTAATGGAAAGAAAGAGAAAGGCAGTTTGGTCATAAATCCTTTCAATAAATGCAACCAAGACAAGTGACACGGTTCTCGATTGGCTCACAATAAGCGAGTTGAATCGTGGAGGTGTTGCGTGAGGAAAATACCTGATCACGAGACCTACCGACTGAGTACATCTGCCAAATTGAGGTACAGATAAATACTGGAACAAGTTGGGGGGGTGGGGGGCTACAAAGGGGAGGACGGTATCAACAGGTCTGTCCGGTGAGGCAGATCATGCGAAATGACGTTGCGAGCATCACAGATAGTGTTGCAGAGGCCGAGTGAAATCAGTGAACCGGAAAGAGGAGAAACGGATCATTGAGGCCGTGACAGAGTTGGCTGGGAGTCAGATCAGCAGTTCAGAGTAAAAAGGGAGGGAAAAGAGTGAACCACCAATTTGCCCCAAGAGTAGAAAAAATAGGTTAGAATATGCGATAAAGAGAGGATTAAATGTGATGTGAGGTAGATGGAGGTATTAGGAGAGGATAGAAAGTGATCTATTTGACGAGTTGTATGTAAGTGTTGAAAGTGGCAAGGAGTCATGACGATGCCGGCAAAATAGGTGACCATGTAGCAAAGTATTAAGACACTTCACCTCAAGGTTGCCTTGACGACAAGAACAAGTTGCGAGGGTGAAGTCAAAATGCTTTAAATTTATTTTAGATTTTGTTGCAGAATTTTTTAAATGCAATTTTCATTTCATTATTTCGGTAGTTTAAATGATAGTAATTAACAAACAGAATAAATTTTCTTATGGATATGAAGTTTTGTAAGGGTGCAACAGTGCTTTTTGTTGTTAAAACTGGGCCTTTATAGCATCCGTGGGCATCAGTGTTAGCCCATGATGCTCACGAACTGGTATCAAATTTCGTTGGGGGTGCAAATTAGGTCAAAAATGTAGCTCATGCTAGAAAGAATGAGGAAACCCTTTTGTGAGCAAGGCCAAGTGAAAGAAATTGTGGGGATTGCCTCACAATCAGTCCATAAATCAAAAAAAAACTGACCAAGTGTTACCAAGATGTAATGATATAACTACGAATATAATCTAGCAGAAAACGTGTTTCAACCGCAAGAATATTGTGCAGTATGGTAAAAATGTTTGAGTCCAACAACAAGATTTGTGTTTTTTACATTTTGAATAAAAAACTAATATAAATTTTCGCTTAGATGATAATTTTCGAAAGAGATTACATAATCTTTCATTAACATTAAAGTGAACTAATGCAAATAAGCAAAAGTTTGTTTCTATTAACTAACAATCATAATGTTTTGATAGTATGGTAAAAAAGTTAGAGTCCAACAACAAGATTTGTATTTTTACATTTTATATAAAAAACTAATATAAATTTTCGCTTAGATGATTAATT